GATGATCTACCAAAGGAGATGCCACTTGCCACATATGATATGATACATCTAAATAAAACTAGAGTTTCTACCTTTTTCTACAAAGTATGTAGACTTAAATCATTGACTGTTCTTGCTGGGCTTCAACTGCCAAAGGAAATGCTTCAGTTCTAGTTGACTGAGTAGAGCTTGGATTACCACATATCCCTAATGACCCATAACCAAAAAGCAGACAGCAAAAACCTACCTACCCCACCTTCCTTGGTCACTTGATCCAGCTTGCTAAATTACCTACATTGATTGTAGCCTAATTCTTTTCCTCATTTGGGAGCCAGACTGGAAGAGTCCAGTCTGGCTCCCAAATGACCTGCTTGGATACTTGCCAAGCTGTCACTCTTAGGCTACATTTATAGTAGTGTGGTTAGAAACAAGAACAAAAGCATGCAACGTTTACATATTTATATTGAGGCAGACTAACTTGAGCTATACTGAGGCTTCAAAAAAAAAGAGATCAGCAAAAACAAAAGGTTTGATTTCTCCACTCCCCTTATTGACAAAATCTGTGCAGTATTGTATTTGTAATTAATATTTATTATGACTAATAATAAAAAATTATTACTACTACAGTATAACACGACTTTTAAATTTAAATAGTAATTTGTAATAGTAATTATTACAGTGTCAAATTAACATTTATATATACCTTAAACAGTATTTACAATGGATGCTAAAAAAATTAATTGGAGCTGTTTTTTCATGCTTACCTCTCCACTTTGTTTGCTGTGCCACTATGACAAAGCAATCTTGCTTGCCTTGCCACTTTTGCTCACCACCTTAGAAGAACTCACTTAGATATTTGTCAATTCCTTTTGGTCTCAAACTTAGCACTTCTGTAGTCAGTCCAGGATCTAACTTGAGATAGTTCTGTCATATAAGAGGGGAAGCTATTACTCATACATGAGGGTCCCTTAGCTTACTGTAGGCCAAATTATTTATTGTCCTTTGAGCAGTTACTACACATCATTATACTTGTCATACATTCCTTATAAGAGTGATCAACAGCACAATGGTTACAGGTTTATCCTAACAACTTGCAGTCCTTCACTGTGTATTCAAACTCCTAGAACTTCCAGCTCTGGATGATCAGCTAGATGTTTTCATACTTGATTTCTTATCCATCCCATATGCCTTCTCAATGAGCATTTTGTACAAGGGCTTATCTTGATGACATAATTGAGGTAGCTCTTTACCTTTCACAGAAAATTTGGTCATTCAAACTGATAAGCTGAAGCTTATGTATGGGCAGTTGACAGATGTCACCTTCAGCACAGACTATTCCATAAATTTCTTCTGGAGTACTTGGACATCTGCTTCTTCAAAAGCTCTAGCAGAACTATTCTTCCAAATCTAGCAGGTATTTTTAATATCCACCTTCATTTGGTGGGATTCATATTCCTCTTAAAGCTGGCTGTTCTCACACACTCTTATACTCAGGAATGGGAAAAGGAATGCAATAGAAACATTTTTCAGCACAGATAAGATGGTTGCCTGCTTTGATTCCCCAGCTGGCTGCTGGGGTTTGCCTACAGTTCGAGCATGGGCCACACACTTGGCCATTCCAAGCCATTTTATTTCTGCTCATACAGATCTTTCTTGATTGGTCAATGGGAAAATTTGCCACTTTCCTCACACCTAAGGATCTAGTGAAACCCAAGCTTAACCTCTTGTCTAGATACTATATCTTGTTGAAAAAAGTTGAATGGCAGAACCACTAGCTCTTCTCCAATGCTCTCAATCTCCTTGCTCAGCACAGAACTTATTATTCAATGAAATTTATGTAGTTTTTTGGAAGCCACACTTATTCATACATAAAGGGATATGCATTTGGACATTTTTTTTGCCCCTCTTCAGTCTAATTTCTTAAGTTACTATATTGAATGTGATGTTAAACAGGATTTTATAACAATTCAATTCTTTTCGTAAATTAATGTTTACAGTAACATTATTTTCATTTTATTTTTAGATTTATGTTTTCATCTTTCTATTTACTCTTTTACTTGTATTATTAAATGAATAATACAAGCAAAAGAGAGAATGAGTGGAATGGAATAAGAAAAAAAGGATCTTTTTTATCTGTACTTCAGCAATGTTCTTTTGCATTTCAACAGCAGGTGTTAGAATACGCCCTACCTCATCAGCTGTAGTTTTTGCTTGTCCCAAATCCATACAGGACTTTGCTTCCAATAGTAGAGAGAGTAGAGTAGAGTTTGGTTGCATTTCAGATACCTTTTGACTAAAGGAAGGGCTCTGGGGTCCCCATCTCCCAAGAGCAGCAGCATCTAGTTTTTTTGCCTGTCTGAGGTGCTGCTGTAATAGTGCTCCTCCTGTCCTTAATCTCTGAAGCCATGTTTAATTGGGTTCAAGATCAGAGTTTGAGGGAGAATCAGTGATTCCTCTGGTCCTTTCCACAACTACAATAGGCTGCTAGACCCATCTACAACTGACTTGGTGTTACTGGTGATTTTTCCACTTTATGCACACTGATGCTTTTTGATGACTTTTTGTGAAATGCATTTTCATCTCATTTCTTTCATTGCTTCCTTTTACTTTCTGCAATACCCTTCTGTGGAGGGGGCTGGAATCCTTAAAAAAAAATAAATAAATAAACAGTAAGCATTTAAGAGCAGAGCCTCCTCTACATCTGATATGAGTTTTGCAGGGCAATTACTGCTTGACTTGTAGGGATGTAATCTAAAAAAAAACACTTACTCGTTTCCATTTTTCCAGAGAAGATATTGACCACATCCAGCACTTGAGACCTTTAAGCACCTCTCTACCTGACACACAAAGATGTTAGCTCATGCCTAAGCTTTTACTCATGATCAGTCAGTAGACAGCAGGATCCTGTAATCCTCTACAAGCATTAATCGTTATCTTTCTAGTTACTGGCTTCAGTAGGAGTATGATTCCTCATTCCATTGCCTTAGGGAGCTGTAGCATGCATGCCAGACCAGTAGCAGGTATGCAAAGTCCAGACTTTCTCCTAGAAAACTTACTAAATAAAGTTACACTACTAGATAAAGTTTTATGTAGTTTGCGTTATCATGGACTCAAACACTAATACCTACAGCATTTGTTCCAAATGGAAGTTTGCCATCCTACACAGAAAAACACAAAGTTTGAGAAATTTGCTCAGTTCTGGAGGGGAAAGTTGTTCCTGTACCAGCACTGGGCTTGAATCCAGAAGATCCAGTTTCCTGGCATCTCTTGATGCAAAGTAAGTTCACCTGTGAATACAGGAAGCAGGGAAACTTGGATTGGACCACTGCAGCAGCAGGACTACCATGTTTTAGCAATGCCTGTCAAATGAGGCCTTATGAGAGACATCTAAGTGCTTTTACTTGTTACTGGCAGTGTGACCAGCCTGTGTTAGACAAGACCAAACTACTATTAATTTACTTATTCTGTCAGGTGTGGCTTTCTTAGGAAAACTGTTCACATCCTTACACCTGGAGTATCCACAAGGCCCCAGTGCTAACATCCATTGAAAGCCGATCTCTGGGCCCTACCATACCAGTCGTCCATCTGTTTTGATACAAGTCTCCATGCTACTATGTTCAAATGCAGCTCTTTTGCCATTTGACCAAATGGGAATAGGTCCCAGTACAGGAAGAAATAGAAAAACCCTCAATGGAAGACTGCAGCTAGACAAAACTTTAACAGTTCTAGTACATAGACTCAAGGCTTCAGATATTTCTGGAATCTTAGATCTGAACAGTGCACTCAACAGTCGAGTCCAAGACAATCTTTTTCAATCCCAACTCGACCATCTGAAGCCATTAAGCTTGTCGTGACAAAACTGACTTACTTACCTTAGGGAAGTTGCCTCCTGGGAAACTAAATGGGAAACTGTCCCTTATTTGGGTGACAAATAAGGGACACAAACCACAACATCAACCCATTGGTTTTCTTTAAGTGCATACCTGGGACAAAGAGTGTTTTGGTAGTTTTATCCACTTGGTCCCTCGATACTTGTGTTAATGTTTAATCCTAATATAGTGATTATAGTTTATTTACATATTAATCATTAGATTGCAGAAATGAGAGTCTACTGAACTTAAACACTGAAATTGCAATATACCCACAGCAATTATGATTATATAATTTATGTATAGTACTTAACAGCAGTTTTGCAAGACACTTAAAATACTATAATGACAAATCATACATTCTGAAACAAAGCAGTAATGAAAGCTTAGGAATAAAAAGTTCCAAACTGTACAGATCAAAATCTGGTATAAAATTTTGTGATCTGATGCTATAATCTTCTCAATTGCGCATGCTCATTATTATAATTTTAATGTCGCTGCTTTCCACGCTGATGCTATTTTGTTTGATTCATGGAAATTTATATTTTGCCCTTTTTCTTTGCAATTGTAAATGTGCCAGGCTTCTGCATACTTTAGATGTCTTCTATTTTCCACTTTTTGTATGACATCTGCCTTGCTCCATCGTGCAAAGAAAAAGGGCAAAATATAAATTTCCGTGAATCAAACAAAATAGCATCGGCGTGGAAAGCGGCGACATTAAAATTATAATAATGAGCATGCGCAATTGAGAAGATTATAGAACGTGCATTTTAGAATTTCCGTTTTGCAAATTTGAAATCTGATAGTTCAAATCCTGAAGAAGGTCTGTGAATCTGACCGAAAACGTTAGATAAGTGTGCAAAATAGACTGCATTTTAAAGGTATAGTGGAGTTTTTTTATGCTATATTGACCGTAGAAAAGTTCCACTGTCATTAAACCAATAAACCAGCAAAAGAACTCCTCACTTTGGAAAGCAAACATTTTGATCTATTTTTTAAAAGGACAGCCTGAAGATGTCCTTTTAAAGACGGACAAAAACATTCTTTTCAAAGTGAGTTGTTCTTTTGCCAATTTATTGGTTTAATGACAGTGGATTTCTTATTATAAAAGAATTTTATCTAATTGATATTTTGTGATATCAAAAATAAATCTTTCAAGTCAAAACAAATGCTTTATTTATTAGACTTGTGACACTGATTACATAAACATCACAGATGTCTTCCAGTGAAATTCATGTCATTAATTTAGATTTGTAATGGTTTACACCCAAAGTGGAACTTGTTAGTTGATCTGTTTCCAAGTTATGTTAACTGAACATAGTGCCACTTATCCACTGTCAATAGAAAAAGAGAAACAGTTAACAATTGGAATATTTTTCTGATTAAATATTTTATATTTATTGCTACGTGTACCGATTGGATCGATGCTTTCTGCTTCTCCCTTTGGTGGATTTTTCTCCACTATTTCTATAGCTTCTGTTGCGGTTATTTTGAAAGGGCTGTCGACCACTACCGTAGAGCTGTAACAAAATTGTATAAATTATATTTAAAACTGAGAGGAAAAACTTTAATTCTAACTACGAAATTTTAGGAAGAGCCAGTATTACTGAAAACAGGTACAAAAATTCTCACTTGTGCTACTTAAAGGGTTAAATCTGTTCCAAAACTCATTAAATATCTACTAGAATGAATGTCAATTGCAAAGCATTAAGTAGTGTTCAATCTTAATAGATATTATAGTTGGAATATAAACATCTAAAATTATTTATTCTTTTTAATAGTAAAACAATTTTTTTGAAGATGTGACCAACAATACATTTGTGTGTTATACAGTTTGCAACTTTAAAGCGCATAATAAAGGACCCATCTCCAATCCCACCAAACTTATATCATTTACTTTTCTGGGATATAAACCAGCTTTAGGTTGCAGCACTAGCAGATCACCCAGCTTGCATTGAATATTGTTGTAAACAATCCATTTTTTATTGCCTGTTATTAATTGCTTTAAAAATGGATCATCATTGTGTTTTAAAAGTTAATCACAAACAGAAATACGCTCAATAAGGTTTCATTCACTTAACTTACGGGAAACCCAAACATCTTAACAGGAAGTGTTTCCAAGGCTAGCCAAATGTCTGACAACAATGTTTAAGATATTTTTAAGGTCTTGGCTATCTCTCGTGTTGTTCTATGCCAATCATTTTGGATTAAAGTCACTATGGACTCGTCTTCTATGGTGGAGAGCCATCCTGACAGATGCATCTCTGAGAGAAAAATTGCCAGTCCTTAATTTTGCAAACCATTTCTGGCATGTTCAATCAGTAACTGCATCTTCCCCATATACAGCGCACATCATCTTTTCAGTTTTTGGCTCATTTTTCCCTTTTTGGGAATAATAAGAGCATAAGATGTTGAAAATGCACCTTATTTTCCATTTTAATTATTTTTTTCTTAAAAAGTAACTAACTAAACTTGCGTATTAAATATGCAAATATTCATAATTCCCACCTAAATAAGTTAAAACTCTATAAGCACGACAGAGGCGACACAAATGAATGATTATGTAAATACCCAAAGAAACTTTAGGTTCAACCCTATAGTTTAAGATAGTTCTAAGTTCCCCAAGTGTCATGAAGGTGTTTGTATACACTTTGTTTTTGATTAAATAAAGTAATCCTTTTATATTTGAATTTTTTCTAATTTATTTCATATTGTACATAGTCAGTCAAGATATATTTTCATAGTCAGTCAAGTTTCATATTGTACATAGTCAGTCAGACAGAAGGCCTAATGAATAGAGACAAAGTGATTCAATTTTTCACTTGTTAAAACCCATTTTCTGGAGTGGCTCAGTTAACATGAGTCATCCCGGACAAGTTGAGACAGGTATGCCAACCAAGGCAGACCCGAAGGAACGGTACTGGCCCAGCTACAGATTGGACGGCCAACAAATCTCAAAGTTGGATATAAGGCAACTTCACCATTCAAAACGGGAGAAAAAGCAAGGCCTAAGACTATGTTGTTGATAGCAATCGAGAAGTATATAAATGCAAATAAATGGTTTCTTTCTGGCTGACCTCAAATCTGGAATTCATACGGCATAATCCAAAATTTACAAGACTAATAAATACAAATTTTTCCCTTCTATGTACAGTAAAATAGTTATTTTGGGCTTTTTATACTTAAAAGATTAGTTCGTAATTTTTTTTTTATTGCCCATTTAAAAGTCAAGGCTTGGCACCAACCGACCCTCATTTTTGATTTATGTAGTGCATTGTTAGGTAATTTCCAGGCTTTCGAAAAGTTAATGAAGTCAAAATGGTGTAACATCTATCTCAAGACCAAAAAAAGCCAAGTTGTCAACTCATACCAGGTTTTGTTGAGTATGACAACAAAGGCAAGACATGATAGTTGATGGGCTTAAAATCAGTATTATACTTGTGATTCAAACCTTACCACTTTTCATCTCAATTTATAATATTAAAAACACTGCTGTGAATATTTAGATACTGACTAGAACACCAAGAGGACTTTTCTTTGTGCCTATTACGGATGCAACCAATCTATAATAAAGGTGTCAAATGGTAAAGTAGAGGCCAAATCAGGTAAAAAGTTTTGAAGAATCCAATCTAAGAGTACTTGGATTAAACTGTATATTAGTAATCTGATTCCATTATAGGTTAGCCAGTCATCTTGAGGTGTCTGATACCTTCACCAGAAAGTTTTATCATCTAGTCCTTGCTGGTGTATATATTAATTAACTTATCAAAAAGGAAAAGGAATAGGAAAATGCAAATCATTTTGAAATGAAAAACTGTCAGCAGTGGATCCAAAAAACTATTGGCCAAATCAACCTGATCTAAACTCTAATTTTGAACATTGGTAAATGAAAACTTAATACCAACCACCATTTGATAATTTGAATAGCATTTATATCATGGGGGGGAATGTCAAATTTTAAAATAAATTGAAGATAAAGATGTCTCTATGAAACTCCGTACCAACAAATAGTAAGCTAGCTTTCCATTTCCGAGACTATTTTCCTGTTTCCCAGGTAATAACCAAAATTAAGACAGTTTCGTTACTGTTAAACATGTCATAGGTTTTGAAATTTATAAACTACAGATATTTATAAATAATAAACTTAAAATCTTACCAAACTAAATCGTTTGGCTCTGAGGCATTGCCAATAAGGTTGGTCCACTGCTTGTGGGTTTCTTCGATGACGTTTTCAGCAAATTTCTGTTAATTTAAGATTTTGTTAGATCCATCTGACGAGTGACAAAGAATATAAGAAATGTCCACTCACTCTATTTCTAGCTTCTCCGTTGAAGGCAAACTGGTTAGGTGGATTTCCACCAGGCATCTTGTAGATACGAAACCATTCATATGTAGCCTGTATAAAAAATCACTTTAGATTGATTGGTTTTCTTAGAATTATTTAAAGATCCAAAGTGATTGCCATAATTAAATTGTGCTATTATTAATAATTAAATCTGGAAGCAAAGAATTGCTTGGAGGTTCGGGTAGTGTAACTGTCTGCACATTGCACAGTAGCCAGAGGTTATGGGTTCAAATTCTGCTCTGGGCCAGTTCTTTTCTTCCAGACTGTTCTAAATTACTTAATAAATTATTATAATTATTAATTTAGATAAGAGATGATACCTAATGTCTACCTCTAATACCAAATTACTTAATGTGTAATTATTAATAACAACAAAATAATAGCCTGATTAATTATGGTGATCATTTGGTTTAGTATCAATAGACT